GCAAGTATTTAGACAACAGCAGAACATCAAGCAAAAAAGAAACATCAGTTAAAAAGAATGTGAAAGAAACAGAAGGCACAAGTCGAAGATTGGAACGCCTACGAAACCATCACTGGATGCCTACCAAACTTTCAAGCAGGAAATTGCAAACTAAAGGATCTACAGTATTTTTCAGAATAATTCTGGTCTGTTCGAGGCCAGAACGGGAGCATTGCGTGAGAAGACGTACCGAGCGAACTACAAAGGCACAGACATGTTATGTAGTGCGTGTGGAGAGAAATATGAAACGCCTCAACATTTGATAATGTTCTGCAGAGGTGTCCACCCTATAGTCCGAAATATTGGTGCAGGTTTTTTTCTAAGCATTGAGTTTTAAGGACATTGAGGCAAAGCAGGCTCTAAACGGGTGGAAATAAGCAGGAGGAAGTTAACTGATTGGTCAATACAATGAAAGCGTGAGTAAAATTCAGTCTTTCAAAACATAGTTATAGTACTTGACTTTATGGCTAGGAGGCGGGAGCCACCGCCCAATCTAAAGGGCAAAGACAGATACATCTATCCGTTGATCCATCCAACATTGATATCGTTGATGACAGACAGACAGACAGACAGACAGACAGACAGACAGACAGACAGACATACAGACAGACAGACAGACAGACAGACAGACAGACAGACAGACAGACAGACAGACAGATAGATGGATGGCCGGACGGGTTCTTAGCCCCACTTAATATTATTCGCTCTTAGATATGCTGTGATTTTTTTCACTGATAATTCCACACTCGTTTTATGAAGTTCCATAATCAGCCTCTTACATGTGTTAGCGCTGTGTTGCGTAAACAACGCCGAATAAAAGAAGCATCCAGATAATACAATCTTTTAATGCAAATATACATAGAACGCGAGTACTACACTTTCTTCTATAGACAGTTTTCAGAGTGTATGCTTTGTACCCTAGAAAACTTCCGGTCACCTAATTTATCAGCTCCTAACGTCGAAACTGAAACAGGTTTTTAGGTTTCTTTTAAGGGTAAGAAAAGTCTACCTTTAGTTTTTCAGATAAAAGGAACGTTCTTAAGTTTCAAGGGAATCTCTTTTCATTTTTATGTAGCTGGAAAGAACATTTATTTGAATACAGTTGCCAAGCCCCCCCGCGGTGATCTAGTGGCTAAGGTACACGGCTGCTGACCCGCAGGTCGCGGGTTCAAATCCCGGCTGCGGTGGCTGAATTTCCAATGAAGGCGGAAATGTTGTAGGCCCGTGTACTCAGATTTTGGTGCACGTTAAAGAACCCCAGGTGGTCGAAATTTCCGGAGCCCTTCACTACGGTGTCTCTCATACTCTTATGGTGGTTTTGGGACATTAAACACCACATATAAATCCATACACTTGCCAAAATTGGAAGGAAAGTATATTATTTCAGTGGGCTATCAAAAACTTTTTTTGCCCCATATTCTAATAAGTCACACAGGTAGACAAGAGCGGATGTTATCAAGGGGCAGTGTTTTCAAACACTGAAAGGGTTCATAACACACGTCGTCGCTACGATAACACTGGCATTATCGGAAGCGCACGTATGTCGACGTGTTCCACCGCTTGTCAGTTGTGCGACGGCCGATAATCTGTTCGTCGTATTCAGTGCTGGTGTATATCGCTGATTGATTTGATAACGTCCCAAAACCACATCTGATTATGAGAGACGTCGTAGTGGAGGGCTCTGGAAATGTCAAACTTCTTTTGGGCCTAGTTGGTTCATAGCCATAGAATATACTTTTACAGCGCAAACATAAAACGATCCACAAAGAAAGCGACGACACACACCAGCGCTGACAACAACAAAACCACCCTCACCCTTAGAAAACCACCCTTAGAAAAGTCGGTGCCAAAAGGCCCACCCCGGCATTCAGATCGTTGTGTCCGACGCGCGGTGTCCTTTCTGAGGGCTAACGACCTTTGCCTCATGCAGGCGGATAAAGAGGGTGGTTTTGTTGTTGTCAGCGCTGGTGTGTGTCGTCGCTTTCTTTGTGGATCGTTTTATGTTTGCGCTGTAAAAGTATATTTCTGGAAATGTCGACCACCCGAGGTTCTTTAACGTGCACCCTAATCTGAGCAGAAGAGCCTACAGCACTTCCCCTTCCATCAAAATTACAGCCGCTGGCGCCGGGATTCTGTACTGTGACCTGTGGGTCAGCATTGGTGAGTATCGCTGTGATATGAGTTTCCATTTATCTGTGACAAGTTGGAAGAGGTGTCGACGCAAGTCCTGGAAGAACGGTTTGGGGCGAAACTGGGTGTAGTGTTTATTCGAGTAAACGTTTGTTTGAAACACAAAGGCACGAGAGGCGGGGCCTATTGAAGACGTTTGCGCTCCGTTTCTCTAACTCGCGTCTGGTCGGTGTTACTCGCGCACAGTCTGTATTCTCGAACTTGATTGGCGTTTTTCACTCGCCCCTCATCCGTGTCGCTGGTCTTCCACTGCCTATGCTTGCATTCGGCTTGCCTGGCTCGCACCTCATCGGTGTTGACATCCCCATTCGCGAACGCGATCAGCCTCGCTAACCCTCGCAATGCTTGTGACAGCCGGGAAGGCTACCCGCACACTAGGGGGAAGCATACCGAGGAGCCGCGCGCTGTCCACATTGTCGGCGCCGCGAGATTCTCGAGGTGCTCCCAGCGCTTGCACCAGCCGGCTCGCGTCTTCGACAGATGAAGAAAGGTGGCGCGGGCGAGATGATACCAACGTGAAGAGTGGGCTCGAGCGTTGCGAGTGGTGGAGAAGGTGAAGCAAAAGAGAGCCGATACGTGACGAGTGCGCGGCAGGCGAAAGATATTCCACCAAAAACACCACCGAGCGTGCGCTGCAGGCACAGCACAGTCCCAGCAAAAGATGGAAGAGCAGCCTTTCTTTAGCCTAAGTTAAACACTATAGCGGAAACTTCTACAAACACACTCAAGTGATATTTACTACGCAATAAATCACCACAATTTTGTGTTGGGGTGTGGAAGCGTCCACTATGCGCCAACTTCGTGAGTGTTCAGAAAAGCATGGTATCCGCTACAAACTTGCAAGTCTTCATGTGCACGTTATTGATGCTGTGGTTGAGGAAGATAACGAATTATGCCTCAGGCTTTTGTAACAGCACAGGGGTGTTTTGAAACGCCTGTTGGTACCTGAAACTCAAGAAAAACTGTGTAAAAACGACATGGAAAAGGATGATCTTACAACACAAGCGCTTGTCTTGTGCGACAATTCTTTCTTCGTCCCATTTTTACAACGTTTCACCTCAATGTCAGCTTTTGTATGGTGTTTTAAAAATAAACGGCCCACACGTTACCCTATTCATAATGCGTGACGGCTGCATAATCGATTCTTCAATTTATAAATCTCTGTATTACAAATAATGCCGCGATTTTTTCCACGGATAAATCCTTCTTAGTGTCATATCGCAAAGCCATTTCAGCACCGGCGTATCTCATTGGTAGAGTGTACTAGGCTGCCACGCAGATGGTCCGCGTCGAATTTCCAAGCTGTGCGCGATATATCTAATGTATATAGTTATACTATTTCATGCAGTATTGGTACCGAGAACCTGAAAAGGCTGAAAACTATGGCGTCGGAATCAACCCTTGTTATGGTCTCATAACTGATTTCGCTCTAAATTTACTGATCAGTTAGCAATCCGTGAAGTGATTGTGCTCACTCTTGAGGTGTTTTCGTCCAGCATAAGCAAAGTCCTTCATTGAATATGATGATACATATACTCTTAATAATATGACGTAAAAGAAGCAGTGAAAACAATTACGCTGTGATGATTCATTTGTGAATGCTGGTCATGAGGAAAATTGTGCAAGAAACCTATGCTTTCCATGAAATAGATGAAACGTCACGATTCACATTAAGAATATATCCAAATCATGAACCACGACATGAGGTAGAGTAGTGATGGAAATATTACGCTTAGTAATTTGAAAATACTATTAGGCCTAATTGAAAAAACACAAGTCCCTAAAAATTACTTTATAAAGTACGTGGCACCACGTTCTAAATGAAGCGTTAGTTGGCATTGTCAAAAGATAAGATTACTAGTGTCGCTTTCACCTAATATGATACAAATTCGCAATGACAGAAAATCAATTGGCATAAAGCGATTATCAACACGTGCTGCCACTGCATCACAGTCATATTCAGATACTGGTACCCAAGAGTAGATACATAGTTTTATTTAGAATAAGGCGACCTGTATCAGTAAAGAAGAATTTCACCGCCAGAGAGAGATTATTTTTTAGAAGGCTGGAGTGGCAGCAATGTTCTAAACACTTCCTAGGTGGGGGGCTAACCTTTGCTAAACATTGAAATTGTTGTGAAAACGTCATATTTACATTTCTACCATGCAACGCAAAATCCCTTATGTGTCAGTAGGCGCAGATTACGGTAACGACCAAGCGTTATTGTCGCATTTCTATGTGCGTTGCACAGGCCAGGCCAAAATGCATATAGGTGAAAGTCGAAACATAGGTGCTTGGAATCTTTTAAAATTAGAAAATGCCCGCGAATACAGCCAAAATTCCAAGACTGTGCTATGTAAATTTGTAGTAAGCATTTTAAATCCCATATGTACCCCGCATGTTTATTTCATCTGATTTTCATTCTCTGTCAATGCACGTTTGTGATTTTTTTTGTCTCGGCTTGACTTTGTGTTTTTCGTCCTAATATAAGCCAAAATTACACGAGTGCGTAGAATTCCGCTGCAAAGTGCCATGGCTGAAGGACGCCAAATAATGTTTCTGAAAATTTTGCTTGGCAATTATTTATTTAGGACAAAAATATTAAACCGCCATGGGTTCTTGACATCTCAATTAGCGAGGTTTCACCTGTCATTTACTTCCATTTCATTCTACCCAGTTTGCCCTATCATAATAGGTGAACCTCACCGCTGGCATTCAATATATAAGTCAGCATTCAATGTGCTTGAATCCACATACCTACGGAGATGCGCAATAGTCGGTACCAACGAGTCGGCCAACAAATAAGATGAAGGATCACACTGCCAATATGGCCGCTATTTTTACACACGTGTCAGAGTAATATATCATCTCCAGCGAACGGAGGCACTCTCTTTAGCTGCAGAAATATTTATTTTATAAAATATGCCCTTTTACGGTGATTCTATAGCCGAATATGTTGTACACACCCCCAAAGAAGTAGGTTGTAGAAGGAGTGAATGTTGCTGTATAGCTTATTTTGTTAAGTACTGCAAGTCTGTGTTGCAATTGAAGTGAGATTGAAAGAACTTTATTGAAGTACAATAGGTCGCACTCGTCTCCTAGCCCGAACAGGGCCCCTCCCACGTTGGCACTGAAAGGTCTTGCATTTCAGCCACTTCACGGGCCTGTTGGACTCATCATTGTCTCTCTAATGAAGGACTTCGTAACGCTGCATCCCGTCATCCTTCAGCATTTTCCTTCTCGCTGCGTAAAGCAGATCGACGCCAAGGCATACGAGCGAGAACTATGGTTACGTGGCATTTATTGCATGATGTAGGAACAGAGACCTCTGGATGAATTCTTCTAATTACCAGCAGGTTCGAGTGGGTTTTGTCTGTAATGGCCATAGCGTAATGACTTCATTTCTGTTTAGTTTATTGTGTGGAGGAGGGAAGATCCTGCTGCCCATATATACATGTTTCGTTAGCTCGTTTGGCGTGAGGAAGTGATCCTTTCATTATGGAACCTCATTATCTTCTTGCCTTGTGGCTGCATGTTGGACAAGTACGCCTGCAGCTATGTGGGCACATTCGGTGTAGTTCATTCGAGAACCTTTCATTTCGTCAACGTGAGCTGGAAACTAAATATTCTTGTGTGGCTTGATTACTTTTTTTACCATTGCCACAGCCTGTATAGAGTTTACTACGTTGGTAAATGCTAGAACGGCTCTATATTTGCTGTAGATTCTCGGTCTACTTGGGTATAAAAGTACCAATTCAATGGATACTTGCTCAGCAATTTACGATTTTGCAGTGTTGATGGAAGCGGAGTGGATGAACTCACCTTTATTGTTAACACTTTTTGAAAGCTTGTTACGGGACGTGAAAGCCACGTAGAAAACGAGAATTCCTCAGGCTCACTTTTAGCAATTTCTAGCAGAGCTTTGGCTGTGGCTTGCCATCTCCTCAGATCGCAAATGGGGTGAACAGTTCTCTGAACAGGCAGAACCATAATATGGTCCTTCGGATCCTTTAGGGCTTCTTTCTGGTTGTCATCTATTGCTGCAATCGGTGTACCAAATCGTTTGAGGTTGTGGCTTTCTGATTGCGTTGCTGTGAGTCTAATATACTGGTCCTGTTAAATGCCTTTTATATAGTTCACACTCTTAACACCTGTAACAATATGTATTATTGCTAGCTGCGAAAGCTCTGCACGATAACAAAAGACACATACCAGAATGTTTTCTCTAAAATGTGATGTTAACATAGCAAGGCTTCATTATTTATCTTGTAAGATGAATATTATCTCTAACTCATACACTCGCCGATTCTACTTTTTTGCAGCTGAAGGAATGAATCGTGTGATTGGAATGGACCTGCTGATGGCTGTTGTTGTGATAGGTACCACTGCTGAATTTATTTGAGCCTCACAAACACCCCAGAGAATACATTATTTGTGCACAGCTTCCTTGCTGAAACGTATAATAAATAGAAACTGTAGATCGGGAAAAGGATGTTTGTTTTTTCATGTGCCGTCTTACTAAGCTGTATTTTCATTTTTGCAAAAGGTTAGCCAAAACGTCCTTTACACTTGTTTTGTAATGCATATTGTCGTCGTTTTAGTACGCTGATTTTTTAGAGAAGATTTATTAGAACCAAGCATCATCAAATTGGAATTTTACAGCGTGTGGCATATTAATTAGCAATTTGGCATGATTGAAACTACACATCGTCAAATTAAACTCTCTGCCCAGCCATCTTGACAATCATCAGTTTTGCTGTTTGCTTTACGTATTTTTTCTATTATCTCGTATAAAAATGCTGAACATCCATTATGTGCTATATAACCTCGAGTTCCATAGAGACCCCTTAATTACAATTGTAATATAATGAACAAGACAACGAAATCGAGCATAATTATGTTTTGCTTCGACTAGCGGTTGTTCAAAAACGAAAAAAAAACCTAAGCTTTTACAAGCTCTCATTGTGACGGCAATGCGTACGCTTCCCAAAGACTGCCGCACCCGGTTGCTAGAATTAGTACGTTTTTAAAGCATCGTTGACAGGTTTCTGCCAGAAGAGATTGCAGAAGTTCATTTTTAAACTCCCATAACGACTGACCAAACATTGCTCGAAAAACTTGACCAATAGTCACAAATAACAAAACTACAACAAAAGATATGACAAGCTACACTTCAGCAAGGCTATAGACTGACATATAGTTCATGCATAATACTTCTATGATGTTGCTCAACTACACAGCACTTGCTTAATGCATTTTTGACATTTTATTTTACCAGTTTGCTTTTCTACGACCCCAAAGAAGCAGCACTCTTAAAGAAGACTTAGGATTTTTTTACATTGTAAACAGTTATCTGCGTATCCCCAGATAGTAATAAAGGAACCCTAGAGCAATTTAGGCGCTTTTCTATTGATTTGAATGATTGATTGATTGTTTATTGATTGATATATAGGGTTTATTGTCTCATAACCAACGTATGATTAGGAGGGACGCTTTACTGGAAGGCTTCGGAATTGTTGACCACCTGGGGTTCTTTAACATGAACCTAAATCTGAGCAAACAGGCCTACAACATTTTCGCCTTCATCAAAAATATAGCCGCCGCAGCCAGGATTCGATCCCGTGGCCTTCGGTTCAGCGAGTACTCTACCCACTAGACCACCACGATGGGGTTTTGACAGTTTTTATCAAACGCTTCGGGCCGGTACACCAAGTCGCAGGAGTAATTGATGAAGAGATTTGAGCACTCTGCGTAAACTGTGTAATTTTTCAAGACGCTTTAAATTTGTGACTTTCTACACATAGCTGCCAATTGCTGCGACTCGGTCAAACACGTTTTCAACCGCCCCCACACCAAGCTACATGCTCTGCACCACTGACGTCATCGTTTCCATATGTTATGATCTGCTGTGAAACGCGCAGCACAGACTGCCAGTATTGAATGGGGGCAAGAATTACACGTATGCGGTCTCACGGCACATCGTGACGCATGCGCCGTGAAGGTGCTGCTTAGCCCCGAGCACTCAAAGGAAGAGTTGAGGGCAGATAAGGGTGAAAGGCGGAGCGGAGTAGGATTACTCGTAGCTCCGTTAATAGTCGGTGTTCCGATTGAACACTAGTGCCAATGATTTCCTCCATTAGTGGTTCAATCAAAAACGTAATGTGAAAAAACCATTTCACGGACCCTTTAGGTTAAGCATAAAAGCAGTTTTACATGGTGAGGCCTTTAATAAACTTAGGTGCCCTTTCAGCAGTTTTTTTTTCGAAGTATTGGTTGGCATGAAATTATATTCCTTTAAGGATTAAGGAGCCCTCAAGTTCAAAAACATATTCGCAGTTCGGAAAACTAAAATAGGACAGGGGCAAAGCGCCAAAATTTATCAATTGCACTAACTGTAAATTATTTGACACAGTAACAGTTTTTCGTAGGTTCGGATATGGTAATAGTTGCTAGGTGAAGATATACGCAATCGAAGTTCAGGGAGAGCGAGCCCACAATTTTTCGCAGTCATTTTATTATCACTGAAGAATTGCAGCAGTCGAAATATGGGAATTTGTTCATTGTTGAAACAGCAACAAAAATATGACTTTTTTATAGCCTTGCGCATTATTTTTCATAAACAATAAGAAAATAGGCGACTAATAAACCCATGTTGCATATTTATTGATGCAAGATACAGTAATTACAGACAACGTACGCCGGCTTCAAAACTCTTCATTCTATTCATTGCAGGTGTTCTTATAAAGGCACCAACTTATGCCCTCGCTGGTGCAAGAGGTGTAGGGGGAACCGAGGGCATCGGTGGTGTTGGCAAGAAGTGAATTAACAAGTGTGCCACCGCTCGCAGTTCTGCTGGCTTCACGCTATAGAAAGTGTATTCGAAATGATTAAACGAATTTCAGAAGTGTTGTTACGAGATATTCAAGCTGGAGATACCGAAATAAGACTTAACAGTCGCTAGGCCACGACTGGCGTCGTTCTATCGATGATTTAACCGGCTCAGTGCTGACCGGGGAAAATTGCAATGTGGGCTTGTTGGCGATGCATTTAAAAATATTCGTAGTGAGAGGCATAAATACGAAGACAGGAAGAGATAGACTTAGAGCTGTGTCCTCTCAATGTATACCTTTTTGTATTGTATTTCGGCTCAGTGCTGCAAAAACTCTTTCTGATGACTGGAAGAAGCTTCACGTAGGACTCGGTAGGGGCCTTTGAATTTGGGACAGTAGCTTTGTGGAAAGGCCCCGAGCAGGTGAACCATCCTGAATTTCCAAATAATATGACTGCGAAGGCAGGTCTTCTTTGTGACAGTTTGTCTGGGACGCTTGATCTTGTATTGTTAAGGAATGTGAGCTGTCTGAATTCTTTCGTATGAGTGGTGACTTCGGATAGAGTTGTCAATTCTGAAGCCTCCGGGCAATACAAGAGAATGATTTGCATGAATGAGAAAGGCTGGCGCCCGTAGAGAAGGAAGAGGGACAGAATTCTGTTGTAGTATGAGTGGCGCTCCTGTACACGTAAATAACAAAGGGTAGTATGTGGGTCAGTTGGTTAGTGAACGCGTACATGATTAGCATCTCGTCCAGGGTACAGTTAAAGCGTTCGGTCAATTTGTTGGTTTGCGGATAGTACGCGCTGGCTGTCGGATGCAATACGTTGCCTTCACAAAGAAGTGCTTCTGAGGTTTCAGGAACGAACGTACGTCCGCAGACGCTTAGTACGTCATGAGGCGCGCCATGGCGAATAACAAGACTGTGAAGGGTAACTTTGCAAACTTCACGTGATGTCGCCTCTGGCAACACAGCAGTTTTAGCATGAGGTGTCAAGCCATCAATAGAGACAATGACTCAGCAGTTACCATATGGGCTTTAGGAAAAAAGCCGTACAAGTCAATGTCAATATGGTTAAATGTCCGTGAGAAGCAAGGTCATGGCTGCAGTTGTCCATTGATTATGTGGGTGGGCTATTCGGACGTTGTTATTTTGAATACGAATGAACTTACTGTTGGGCAATGTGGTAAACTTCGCGCCACTAGTACCACAGTCGGAGGCCCGCATACGTGTTTATCACACAAGTGTGGCCACATTGTGAGATCCGCGTAATCAGATGCGCTGATATCGGTGCGCAGGTGGTGAGGAGTTACAAGCGACTACTTGCCGCCATCAAAAAGGTTGTTGCGATGGTACAAGGGTGAATTTCGGGTGGCGAAACGTCAATATGTGGGTCGCAATGAACTAGTTGTGATATCTTTGGACAGACAAGGCAGGGATTTTACTATAGAGGCTATCCAAGCGTCTTGCCACTGCCCTGAAGGTTTATCAGTGTATGAAAATGCCGCAGCATTAAAACTGAAAGCAATCGCAATTTCATATTCGTGGGGAATATAATAGCGGGAAAGAGCGCCGGCATCTGAATGTCTGCGACTGAACCCGTGGACGACACGGATATTATTGTCTTTGAGACAAAATGCTGAATAAGCCAGACGACCAGGTGGGTCCTTTTAGTGACGATAATCAGTCGAGCGCGTGAAGGTTGTTCACGACATCAAATGGGTGGAATTTAGTGATTTGTCGAACATTGGCTAGACATCTTTCTTTTGTTACTAAATAATTGTATTCAGCCCTCAAGAGCACGACTGACATAAAGACGACAAACTCGTTGAAGTCAGCCGTTGAGTCAGAATAGCGCCAAGGGCGACTGCACTAGCGTCTGTGTTGATTTCGCAAACGGCATCTGAATTAAATTGACAGAAAATCTATGGCAGTGCAGGCAGATGACGTAGTTTTGCGAGTGCATCTATGCAAGTGAAAGGCCACGCCGAGATGTCTTGGCTCTAATAAAAGGGGTGTTAATGGGACCATTATAGACGCGAGGTCACAGACGAATCGGCGATGTTACGAACGTAAGCTGATAAAGCCCGAAGTTCTTTTAGCTTTGATGTATTATGAAACTGTGCGACGGCACGAAGTGTGGAGGGTCTGGTAAAATGCCATCGTTGCTGAAAAATTCCTTGGGATGATAAGTTTCTGTGCAGCGAAATGACACCTCTTGAAATTTATTTGGAAATATGCATTCGTAAGGCTTTCCACGACACTTGCGAGGCGCATTAGATGGGTATCGAATGTTTTCAAAAAACGACGACGTCATCCAGATGACAAATGTCCATCATATTGACCATCACGCCCTCGAATGTGTCATGGGCGTTGATGAGGCCTAACGGCACACAGTGAATTCGTACAAGCTGTTTAGAGTCACAAACGCAGTCGTCTTGTGTGGTCAGCTTCATCGACGGGAGCCTACCAGTATTTTCATCGAAGATCCAGCAAGGAAAAGAACTTTGCTCCCTGCGAACAGGCGAGAGCATCATCGATTTTGGGGGTGGGGTGGGGGGGACATCTTCGCGTGTGGTCTTGTTAAGGCACCTGTATTAAACACAGAATTGGCAGTAACTGTCCATCTGTCAGACGAGTAGCTCAGGGGAGGCCCACAGACTGTTGGGCGGCTGTATGACGCCACGATTAAACATATCGGTCAGCTGATCATCGATAACTTGGCCTTCAGCGTGAAAGAGGCGGTTTGGACGCTCACGCAATGTGTGCCACTGTCGATACGACAAACGATTGCAGATGTTCCGCACCAATTGCTCTGTGTTAAGTCGAAAGACATTCCAAAGCAGTCTATAAGCGACAAGAGTTTCATTTATCAAGCAACAGGGAGGCCTCTGACAATGGATTGAAGAAACACAAATAGAGAAAATGTCGTGGACGTGAAAGCAGGAGTAACGCCTACGATCTGACGGTGTGTGCAATCGCGTAGCTGACAGGCGGAAGCACATTCAGTGTCCTCAAGGGTGTTGAGACATTTTAGACAGAATAATGTGGCCGCACTTGAAAGAACATTTGTGGCATGAATGGTTGCGAAACAGTTTTGACCGTGTGAAGAGTAGAAGGTAGATGGAAGCTTTTTCGAGATGCGAAGTTTTCTGACGGTGGCAACATGGCGTTCAAAAAAGAAGCGTAGCCGGAAGAGATCAGCACAAGATCAGATTGATTGATTGATTTGTGGGGTTTAACGTCCCAAAACCACCATTTGATTATGAGAGACGCCGTAGTGGAGGGCTCCGGAAACTTAGACCACCTGGGGTTCTTTAACGTGCACCCAAATCTGAGTACACGGGCCTACAACATTTCCGCCTCCATCGGAAATGCAGCCGCCGCAGCCGGGAATTGAACCCACGACCTGCGGGTCCGCAGCCGAGTACCTTAGCACTAGACCACCGCGGCGGGGCGGCACAAGATCAGAACACATAGGTGGGATATCTATGGTGGCAGCGACGAAGACACGAAAAAAGTATGGCCGGTTAGAAGTGCCGGCGGAGATCGATGATAATCGTAGTTCAGCCTGGGCATAATCAACAAGGGCGTGATGTGTAATAACTAGGTCCCAGGCTAATACAACATCATGCTAGCAGTTTGGAAAGGTGATGAATTCAACCACGTACAGATTGTCCTGGATCAGTGATCGAGCAGTGCACGTCAAACAAAGGTTTGCGTGATGCGAGTTTGCCGTATGCAAAAACAGGCTAAAAAGTGCAGTCGTAACTTTCTAGGAGCGAAGCTCCTCAAAGCGTTTCTCGATCGACCTCTGTAGTAACCACCTTTCTTGGGTTTGTGCCACAGGGGAGTTTAGTTCTTGGAATATCTGCTAAATGGCGGTCGTTGTATATCATTAATATGCGATAAAAATATGCCTCTTGGAATGTCTGCTACATGTTGGTACTTGTATGTAATTAGTATATCATGAAAAGAAGCTCTTTAAAGAGTCACCTGATCGTCCTCTGTAGTAAGCACCTCTCTCGGGTATGTGCCACTCAAGAGTTTACTTCTTGGAATGTCTGCTAGATGGTTGTACTTTTATATGATAGATATATGATGAAAAGTTATAAGATGGTGGCACTTAAACTGTTCGTTAAACGGACGGACATGCAGAAAGACAAACTGACAGATGCATGGACGAACTGATGGAGCCATGAATGAACGGACGGACGGATGAATGAATGGAAGGACGGACGCTTCGCCCCACTAATGATCATTCAGTTTGTTGATACGCTGTGATTTTTCTGCGACACATTGCTTTAAGCAATAGACAAGGCAGCTCCGGTATCGACTAACTTTCGAACAACAGCTTTAATAAAGACAGTTATTTCATAAGTAGAAGGACAACGAGGTCTTGAAGAATTCGAAAGTGGCCCAGTTCTTCCCTCCGAAACTACGATGACCAGATTTTCGTGATTTGCTTTTTTGCAGGTGGTGTACCACGAATCACGGCCACAGGCGAACGTCGGCGTGGGGAGGGTGATCGATGTGGGTGGAGGGCACGGCGGCTCGACGAATGGTTGTCCGAAGTAGCATGAGGAGGCAGCGTCCGTAGTGGTAGTGTGCAATCAATGATACCTGGACGAGAGACGCACCAGTGACAGAACCTCTCAACATATCCAGCAGGTGACAATATTAACAGATGGGTCTATTAATCGATATGAGCCAACGGTTGTTTGGAAGCGCTGAAGCATGGTGAAAAAAGGAACGTGCGGACCTGCCGGCACGTGATTTGCGCAGAAGACGTTTGTTTGGCCACGTGTTTGCTTTCGCGTGACGTTAGCGTAATTCAAGTGAGTGGACACAAGCGGTGGCTGTCACGTTGGTAGAAGTGCCTTGTAGTCTTGCTCTTCGATGGTTTGGCGCTGCGACGAGGTGAGCCCATGAGTATTGCTTGGAAGGAATTGCGCAAGGGAGGATCGAGGTGCCGTTTTCTCTCGGATGAAAGAGAGAAAGAAACGTTTATATAGAAAGCAGTGTTCCGAGCGAGGCCCGATGTCACCCAAAGGTGGGAGTGTTCCCTAGTCCAGGAAC